AAAATTTTGAAGATTTGACATTTTATTTATAGGGAAGGATTAATAAAAATGAACATGTGTATATAAAATACATGTGAAGGAGAACTTCAGGTTCTCATTTGTTGGAACTACGGGTTCTATACACTAATATCATTATTTTTAATGATTGAGAAAATGTCAAGAATTCAACTCTTAACAGAGCATTTACAATTGACAAATAAAATTTAAATATTGAATTTTATTTGCAATATCTTATAAACTTCTTTCTTGAACTTCAGGTTCACATCTTTTTTTTAATTGAAGAATATATATAATCTAGCATATTTCATGGAATTTATCTTCCATTCAACTCGTTCAAAAACCTTCCCTCAGTATCTACATACCATTGTGGTATCTTGATAATTTGTCTTAATTTAAGCATATTAAGCATCCGCTCCAAATAATTACCACATAAATTAAATGAAGATTCAAAAACCAGTATAAAATGATTTGTTCTCACAATCAAAAGTATAGCCACCAATTCGATGCACTTTGCATATTAATTAGAGCTGCAGGCTCTTTTGTAGCTAATGATGTTCAACATAACCTATAAATTGTGTCCATAATATAATATATGGACAAAATATCATAAACTTCAGGTTACGAGTTAATTGTCAACAAATATGACAAATATAACGATGCATCATATAAAACATTTAAATTGCCATCACGAATAGGTGATGGACCCAATCAATTCTACTTGAACAATCTTTATATATAAAATTTGAGAGTTGGGTTTCTAGGATTGTGACATGTGGCACGCTTATTAGACAACTTTTTTGACATGTCAGCATGCCATGTCAGCAAGTAATATTTAAAGAATTAGTTAACAAAAACACTTATTATATAGAAATTATATTGAATTTCATTTTTGTTAAACACAAATTTCTCAGCATAATCGCGTTAAAAAACTTTTATATTTTATTTCATTATTGGAAAATATTTAAATTAAATAATCCTTTACTATAATAAAGGAGACTCTGATTTACAGCAATTCGACATTTGGCATGTCTATTTGGCAAAACTTTAACATGTCAATGCCACGTAATAACTGAGTAAAATTTAAAAAATATTATATACTGAGTAAGAAATTGATGCCGATTAAATTGATGGCCTTTAAGATATTAATTGGTAAAAAGGTTTAAATAATTTTCATATACGTGTTTATACCACGAAGGTTAAAAGGCAAAAATATATATATGATTCCCAATGCAATGTTTATTACATAGCACATGGCTTATTTTTATTAACAAGAAAACAAATGATAAAAAGTATTCATGCACACCTCTAATTTTAACATCTTTGAGGTTTATTTTTCAAATACTTCTACACTATTGAAAAACCTACTAGCAACTTGAATTCAGCAAAAAATAAACGACCATAATATTGATGTAAAAAAATACTCTGAAGTTTATTTGAAACCAAAAAATATATCATACCCAAACACTATTTTCGTTAAAAATAAAATTGAATAATATAAATTTTATAAATAACTTAATAAATTTATGAAAAAAATTTAAAAACACATGTGGTTGAAATTTATTTACAAAAAGAAATTATATTAAAATTCTTTTCCTTAAAAAAAGAAAATGGTAAAATTTAAAATTAATTTATAATTTTTTTAAATAATAATAAGAACAATGAACATATCTTTTGTATACCCTAAAGTCTTTTAGAAAATTTGTTATTAATTTTTTTTGTGTTGTACACAATCAATCCTTCAAATATTATTTATTCCACTTTGGTTTTTTTTCTATGATATTAAATATAATGCGAGAAGTATATTTTCTTTATTCTTGAAAAAATATTGCATTAAACTTTATTAAGAATCAAATAAAAATTTTGTTCGACCCCGTGCGTGGCACGGGTTCAAATACTAGTTCCTTATTATGTATGAAATGAATCTCAAGTTTCATTAGTAATAATCTCATAATAATCTTCTAATGAGAACAAGGCTATAGGATCTTCTGGTCCTAATAATAACAGAAACTTCTAGGCCTTCAAATAGTACTCACTTGAGTTCTTAATGATTTTTTTTTACATCACAAACTAAATCATGATAATTTAATTAGTTATGTTTAAAATAAAAATTAGTTCAGTAAACTTCTGGTTTACGTGAAAAACAAATCTCGATCAAGTGTCATGTAATATTCATTTCCACTGGTATCTTAAACATTAATAGAGACACATTAAACAATGAGGATTTGTCTATACCCAATAGAATATTCGTCAATGCAGGACAATAACTATCATCTCAAAATATTCAATATTTATGAGACTTTTATTACTTCTATTATGCAGTTCTTATTCTGCAATGCTCTTCTGGAGCTATCTGTTAGTTTTGTATAACAAGAAAAGTATATCTATACTAACTTCTTTTATCACAAGAGAAAAGAATCTCTTACATCTAAAAAAAATATAACATGTATAATCACTCCTTTGATTATAATATATTTACTATATCATTCTTCAGGAATATTGATGAGGAATCATATATACATTAGAATAAAGGTCTTGAATTATCATAACGTGTCTTTATAATGAGATTTTTATTTACTAAAAAAAATAAGCCACTTCTGGTGGTAATTAAATATTATAAGACCTTAGGTAGTATCTCATATACCCATATACTGTGTTTGATGAACATGATGACACTTATTTAAATTAGGAGATTATACATCTTAAGAATTTCTTTTCAGAATTCGATATTCTTCAGGAATATTTAGATTCAAATAGTCAATGTTTTTTTAATGTAATTTCATGTTACCATAATAGTGACTTTGATGTGTCCATGTGTATAACCACAATAGTTGTGATATCCTATTATATTCATGCTGGTCAATCAATTTTTTCACTCGCTTCATGAAATGAATATGTAACATGATTTTTTTTTCATGAAAAATATCTTTCGTAACAATGGGAAAAAATGTAACCAAATATGGAGTATATGAATTTTTTTTTCCTTATACTACCACTTTAGAGAAAATTAGATTCTCAAACACTAGTTTATAATCTCAAACCACATATAACATGCAATTACATATATTGGTCACACAAGTTTTATTACAACTTAGTATATCACAGTAAAATATAATGTGATTGCATAAGGAGAAAATGCTTTGAAAAAATCTTTAGGCCATTTTACTTCTGGAAAATGGTAAATGCATGATTAAAAGAAATCTATTTTGTTATTCTCTTTGAGAGATTATTAACTTTAGAATAATTATCAAATTTGATTTGCTTTGAAGACAAAATTTGACACTTCAATTGAAGTCCTCTTTTATATGTCATATATTCCATATTTCTCATATACGAAACAACAAAAGCATTTATCACATTTGGGATCGAGTAATAAAATATGCATTTTTTTTCACAAATCTTTCATACCAAAGTACAAAAATGTAATGAAATACGTAGTGTATATATAGAATCTTTAACTTTCTATACTACCAAATCAAAAAGGGAAATTAAAAACCCAAACATTATTTTATAATCCCAAACTAAATATAATATGCAATTAGATATTGGTCACATAAATTTATTGCAATATGTTACCCTAGAGTATATCAGAGTGGAATATGATGACGTCTAACAAAAAAAATTAAGTAAGACAATTTAATTTAAATATGAATTATTAGACCAATATACTTCTAGAAATTTGTAAAATTACAAATTTCCCTTTAGTCCAGGGAAAAAAAATATGTGTAGTTTGAAGTACACGAGATCAAAATTTTGTTCAATAGCATTATTATTATTATTATTATTATTTTATTAGCATCAAGGCATTCATAGTGGATCAGATCCTATGCAAACAACAAACAAGTGGCCCATGTTTCTAATTTACTTAAGGGAAATGCAACACACTTACTGCACAAACATTGACTAATATTAAGGGATCTTAGTTGCGATCTCAACCAGTACAGCATTTGTTTGTTGACATCTTATTAAGAAACCAAAAAAAAACCTTTATAGACCGGGGCATAGATAGATAAACAATCATGGATTTCAAACATAAATATATACAGACCGAAGCAAAAATAAATCGCGATCATGGGTTTCAATTTTACTTGCTAAAGAACAATTAGATCGGATAAACAACAGGGATTACGATTCATATTTCAAAGTTCATAGATTGCAATTTTAGATTTCAAATAACATACATAGGTGGCATATTTAACTGGACCATTCAATTTTACAGAATAAAAAAATTGCAAAATGGAAAATTAAAAATCTTATTGTATTATGGTCCAGGCCGGTATGTGATATCAAAAAAAAATTTCATCTCCAATTATGTATTTGATATAAAAAAAATCCTAATTCATATAGCAAATAGCAATTTTCTGTACACGAACAGAAATCATGTAGAACTATAAGTTTAAAAAAAAATTAAATCTGATAATTTGAGATACCTGATCTGTGGGAATCTGAAATTTCCGAAAAGAGAATATGGGGATGGAGACCGGTGATGGAGAATCGAAGCCGCTGCTCTGGTCACGGCGTGGAACGAAAAAGGACAGCGGAGAAAGGCGATGAGTTTTTTTTCGATGGACCACGGAGAACGGCGGAAAATAGGAGAGGCTAAAAATTAGGGTTTGAGTGTGGTGCTGATAACTTGTTGTGAACTTAGTAGTTTATTCATCATATACGGGGGTATTTATACATACACGGGGAGAGGTATAGTCTAGGTCAATAAGGAAACAATATATTCTAAATAGTACGAGAAATATATCTGCCATATTTAACATTTAGCACTATATTTTTTATTTCCAAACTCTAATATATATATATTAACATTGTGAACCTTTGACTATTTGGAATTGTTAGTATCATATATTTTGTTTTTAATCTTAACATATGACTTTTACTTAATATTTCTCTAGTACTTTCAAATTTTACATTAGTTATTATTTTTCACATCACATATATCATTAAATATAAATACAATGCAAATAATAGTAATAGTAATAACAATAAAAATGGTTTCAGCAAATTGGATTTGCGGCAATTTAGTTATCACTAGCAATTGCTTTGCCACAATAAAGTAATAATTGTAGCAATTAAAATTTGCTACTAAATATGTTTTTTGTGGCAAATTATAACTTGTGGCAACTAAAATGTGCCACTGAAAATGAGCTTTTGTGGCAAATTATTATTAGTGGCAAATCATAATTTGCCACAAAATCTATGGTTTTTGTGGCAAATTTATATTTGCCACAAATACCTTTTGTAACGGGGTATCTGTGGCAACCTTGTGACAATTTCTAAAATTGCTACAAATAGTTATTGTAGCTAAATTTTAATGTTTTGTGGCAAAATTTGGTGCCACAAAAAGTCTAAGTTTTTTGTAGTATAGCCCAAAAAAATTTCGAAAGAGAATTTCCGAAAAATTTACACGAGTTTCCTTAAAAGGTGAACTAATGCAAGTTCGATATACAAGCTAGGGGACAATATGTTCAAAACGAGAAACATATTGCCAAACAAACAGACATGCAATATCAAGCATAATCATAAGGGCTTAAAAGGATTCAACAATTAACAACAATAATGTCATTAACATAAAATATAATCAAGCAACACAAGCATAATGTCATCAACAACAAACATTTAACATAAGCTATAAAGTCATCATAACCAAAAGCATGCCAATAGTGAACATAATGATCAAACAAAGTCATCAAAGAGAGTTTGCCGGGCCTGGGTCCTCCCGAGTAGCTATGACGTGGTCCATGGTATGAGCGAAAGAAGTGAGAATCCTCAAGGTGGGAGACTTGATCGGAGAGCTTGCGAACGTCATCACGAACACAAGTGATGACATCAAAAATCTTCCGGATCCAAGATGGTTCGGGCTCGTTCGCTCTTAGTCGTGGTCAGCGTCGTCGGGCTTCTCTTACCACGGAACGACTCGTCTCTTCACCTACATTGCTCGATCCTTCTCCGGCATTGCTTGGTCCCTCTCCGGTGCGGCTCGGCATGGCTTCGGTTTCAGCTTGACTCTCATGAATGCTCGCGTCTTGCTCGATCGCGGTCGCTCGTGGTTGAGGCATTTCACCATCGTTCCCGCAAATGAAACGGGTCAACTTCATCTCTTGGATGAAGCACGTCTTCTTCACCGGTACTCGTATGTCCCGCGAAAAGTCCACTTTGCAACGAAGAAGAATAAGCATGATTGGGACCGCAAAATGAAGGTGATGGAGTCGAGAGCCATCACGAAGAGCAACAAAAAAGAAATTGACGCAATTGATTTTGACGTCGTTTAAAAGAACGTGTAACAAATGGATATCATCCTTGTTCACGACGCCATGGCTCGAATCGCGGGGCAACAACACATCACAAAAAATGTATTGAAGCACTTGTTGGGTCAAAGTGAGGTTGGTGACACTCGGGTTTGAGGAATTGGCGTATGAAAGCCGATGAAATGGTACGCTAAGGTTTTGCCAAATAGCTTTGTCCACAAAGGTACCATCAAAGTTACCACAGACTCCACCTTGACGGAGACCAAGAATAGCCGTCAAGGTCTTGGCATCAACCTGAATGGTTTTGCCGTCAACGTGGGAAATCAAGATCGGACTATCACCAAGAGTAATATGAAGATTTAAATAAATTTTACAGATAAGATTGAAGAAGTAAAAATCATACTTCAAAGAGATGAATTTGAGCAAACTTTGCCGTTGGAAGGGGACTTTGCACGGGGCATATGTAGCGTCATGAAAGAGAAGCAGCTCCACAATCCTCAGCATGATTATCTCCTTCTCAAGAAACTCCTTTTGGAACATCTCCACATCTTTGGGATAAGATAAGCGGATGTTGGTTTGGGTGTGAACAAAGGTTGAGCGGTCCAACCTCCAAACCCTACCCACGATTGAGATGTGAGAGGGCTTCTCTCTTCTTGTTCTTGGCATTTTTTATGAAATTGATGAAGGATTTGAGAGAATTTGGTGAAACTTGATGGAATTTTGGCCAAAAACGAAGCTAAAATTGAGGAGTTTCGAACCTAGAGTGTTAGAATAATAGACCAACGCTAGAGGGGAGGGGGGTGAATAGCATTTGATCAAGAAATCGCAGGAATTAAAAATAAGTAAAAGAGAAGTAAAAGAAGAGTAAGAGGCACACCGAATTTTACCCTGGTTCACCATAACTTGTGGCTAATCCAGCCTCCCGAGAGACTCTCTCGAGCTACACTACTATCTCGTTAACTTGTGTCGATTTTCTCACCTTCCTTCATTCGAAACATTTCATACTCTTGGGTGAGAAAATCGATCTTGGTTTCACGCACTTGATCGGTACCTTCGTACGTTACTTCAAGCTTGTCCCACATCTCCTTGGCGGTTGTGCAACAGGAGATCTTTCGGTAGTCATCGGGGTTGACCGCACAATATCGCATATTGATGGCCTTTGCATAATTCTCAATCTTCTTGATGTCCTCGGCATCAAATTCGTTCTCGGTCTTTGGGGCCGTGGTTTCTCCCACTTTCTTCATAGGGATTTCTTCGCCATTTTTCATCACCAACCACAATTGGAAGTTGGTGGAACGGATATAGATTCTCATCCGTTCCTTCCAATAGGAGTAGTTGGTGCCATCAAAGAGTGGTGGCCTAGATGTTGATTGACCTTCTCCAATTCCTGCATAGAGATTTCTAGAAGAAGAACCCATGATCGCTTTACTCTCAAACAGTTAAGTTTAGACGCGAGTTAGGCTCTGATACCAATTGTTAGAATAATAGACCAACGCTAGAGGGGGGGGGGGGTGAATAGCGTTTGATCAAGAAATCGCAGGAATTAAAAATAAGTAAAAGAGAAGTAAAAGAAGAGTAAGAGGCACACCGAATTTTACCCTGGTTCACCATAACTTGTGGCTAATCCAGCCTCCCGAGAGACTCTCTCGAGCTACACTACTATCTCGTTAAGCTTAACGGTGCTTAACAAACCCTTCCTTCGAACAACAAGAGAAATATTTTCTCTTGTCAAGTGTCTAAGAAAACTAAAAACACTCAAGAACAATACTCTCTTTTAGAGTGGATGATGGGTAACTAAGAACGCTCAAGAACACAACACAAACTTCACAAGAATGACTCTCAAAAAGCTATGAATAAAGGATGAATTATTTGCAATGAAAGAGTAGGAGTTGTGAAGTAATGTGATATGTAAAACAGACCCAAACACCCCATTTTATAGTGGAAAAATAGGCTCCAACGGATCAAAACATTTAAGGGTTGATTGGCATAATTTGTGGGATTTGATTAAATTTGGATCTGCTGAAATTCACCCAGACAACGCTGTCCTAAGCTTGGACATCGCTGTTCTAGGCTTGGGTTTTAAAAAATAGGAAGCAACGGTCATGCCAAGAGCGATGTCCAAAAACCCCTACATTGCTGTTTTGGCTGTTGACTTCCAAACAAGGAAAGTTTTAGCCTTAAATTCCTTCCAACAGTCAGGTTCCTACATCGATGTTCATTAATTGAACATCACTGTTTAGGTCTGACTTTGAAGGTGGAAGTTTGGCCTGACAGCGCTGTTGCTGGGACAACATCGCTGTCCAAAAACTTTCTGCCAGAAGCAATTCTTTTTTGCTTAAGTTGGACAACGATGTAGGGAAGTCTACATCGCTGTTCCAGATGTTTCTAGAAACCCAACTTTGGCTCAATAGCGATGTCTAAAAACCAACATCGTTGTTGGAGGACTTAACGCCAAACCATGGTTTTCAGCTACCCAAGACAGACAGCGCTGTTGGTTGCACCAAAAACTTTCTGCCTGAAGCAATTCTTTTTGGCTTAAGTTGGACAGCGATGTAGGGAAGTCTACATCGTTGTTCTAGATGTTTCTGGAAACCCAACTTTTGAAGGGGAGATGTCTGCCATAGTGGGAGACGTCGTCGCCTTGGAAGGGGAGGCCGGCGATGCGCCCAAGCTGCTCAACGGAAAGCTCAATCGGCTTGCTCTTGACAAGCGAGTAGAGCACGTCGTTCTCATGCCAGAGGTTGGAGTAGAAGGCCCGGATCAGCGCCTGGTTGATCTCCTTCCGAGCCCGGGAGACGAACGGCCAAAGGCCGGCTTGATGAAGCTGCGCGTCTAGATTGTCGTAGCCCTGCAACTCTGGGAAGCGCTCCAGGACGATCCGTGGGGGAGCCACAACCTGTTTAGAGAAGAAAGTGAGAAAGCGGGTGCGCTCCTCCTTGGAATCGAACCAGAGGTACGACCCATTGCCGTAGTAGAGGCGTTCCTCGGAGGACGTCGCAGGCGCCCGGGATTTGGACTTTGATTTCCCGAAGGTGGCAGCCCTGCTCTTGTCTTTGCCCATAGTGGAGAATTCTGAAAAAAATTGTAAGGAAGATGAAATATGCAAGAGCAAGGGAGAGAATTGTGTTTGTGTGTGTAAAAGTGAGAAGAGGGGGTCCAAAATATATAGGGAGAGGGGTTTCCAACGTTCAAAATTTGAAAAAAATGGCTGTTGGAGAAATTAATGCTGTTGGCAACGGTATTTTTTTTGAAAAATTTGACCAGAACAACGATGTTCTACAGGGGACATCGCTGTTGGGACAGCGCTGTTTTGCAGTTGTAAAGCGCTGTTCTGCGTCAAGTTTAAAAAAAACAGGAGTCAATTGGACAGCGATGTTGAGAATCATACATCGATGTCCCAGAAGTTTCTAGAAAAGTGTGAGGGTATGAGCCCAGTGGAACAACGCTGTTGGGTTACTCTACATCGCTGTTCTACGATAGGAGAAAAAATTTTTAAAAATGGACATCGATGTTGAAAGGGGGACATCGCTGTTTAAAAAGTTTCTAGTTTTGGTTGAAAACAAGGTGTTTTGGGTAGACAACGGTGTTTTTAAAAAGAACATCGATGTTCAAAAAGTTTCTGGAAAGCAAAGGTAAAAGGGACTCCCTGTGACAGCGATGTTGGCTTGTTGTACAGCGCTGTTGACTTTAGCTGGTTGACGGTGTTTCTCTCAACAGCGCTGTTGGGTCTCCTGGACAGCGCTGTTTGCATGGTTCCCCCTGACTTCATGAACGGGGTACCTGCAAAAAAGAAAAACAATTCTCCGACGCTCAAGTTAGTAAACGTTTAACAAGTTTAGATGCACAACTTAGATCATCGTGGAGTCAAGGATTCCGAGTTCACTTCGAATGCGGAAGAACGACTCTTTCTCTAAAGGTTTTGTGAAAATGTCGGCTAATTGGTTATGTGTTTCAACAAACTCAATTTCGACATCACCTTTGAGAACATGATCTCTAATGAAATGATGCCTAATGTCAATGTGTTTCGTCCTTGAAAGAAGAACGGGGTTATTCGTCAAGCTTATGGCGCTAGTATTATCACAACGAAGAGGGACGTGATTGATACTAAGGCCATAGTCCACGAGTTGTTGCTTCATCAAAAGGATTTGAGCACAACAACTACCGATGGCTACATATTCCGCTTCGGCTGTGGATAACGCAACACTGACTTGTTTCTTACTAAACCATGAGACTAGAGAGCTACCAAGTAAGTGGCAAGTCCCACTCGTACTTTTACGGTCAAATTTGCATCTGACAAAGTCCGTGTCGGAATAGCCAACTAGATGACAAGAAGAGCCTTTTGGATACCACAGTCCAACGTTAACCGTGCCAACAAGGTATTTCATAATCCTTTTTACCGCCGTTAAGTGCGATTCCTTCGGACACGATTGATACCTTGCGCAAAGGCAAACGCTAAACATGATATCCGGCCTACTAGCGGTAAGATAGAGAAGGGATCCGATCATACCTCGATACTTTTTGACTTCTACTTCCTTACCTTTCTCGTCTTTGTCAAGATGGTCAGACGTGCTCATCGGGGTCGCCATGGCTTTGGCGTTGTCCATTTCAAACCATTTTAGGAGCTCCTTGCAATATTTAGCTTGGCAAATGAACGTACCATCTTTCATTTGCTTGACTTGGAGTCCCAAAAAGAACGTGAGCTCACCCATCATTGACATTTCAAATTCGCTTGTCATTTGCGTTGAGAATTCCTTGCACAAAGACTCGTTAGTAGCCCCGAATATAATATCGTCTACATAAACTTGAACCAAAAGGATGTTATTGTTTTTACTCTTGATAAAAAGTGTGGTGTCAACCTTTCCCCTTTGGAAACCACTATCCAAAAGAAAATTACTCAAACGTTCGTACCAAGCACGGGGTGCTTGTTTAAGACCGTAGAGCACTTTCTTGAGTTTGAAGACATGATCGGGAAACTCAAAGTCTTCAAACCCCAGGGGCTGGTCAACATACACTTCCTCTTGAATAAAACCATTGAGGAAGGCACTCTTAACATCCATTTGATAAAGTTTAAAATCCATAGACGAAGCAAAAGCCAGAAGTAAACGAATAGCTTCTAAACGTGCTACGGGTGTTAGAATAATAGACCAACGCTAGAGGGGGGTGAATAGCGTTTGATCAAGAAATTGCAGGAATAAAAATGAATAAACGAGAAGTAAAGAGAAAAGAAAGAGGCACACCGATTTTACCCTGGTTCACCACAACTTGTGGCTAATCCAGCCTCCCGAGAGACTCTCTAGAGCTACACTACTATCTCGTTAAGCTTAACGGTGCTTAACAAACCCGTACAACTTGAGAATTCGAGTCACACGAACCTCAACGAACCTTCGAAGGAAACAGCCTTTCCTTCGAACAACAAGAGAAATACCTTCTCTTGTCAAGTGTCTAAAAACACTAAAAACACTCAAGAACAATACTCTCTTTTAGAGTGGATAATGAGTAAACTAAGAACGCTCAAGAACACAACACAAGCTTCACAAAAATGGCTCTCAAAAGCTATGAATAATTGAAGAATGGTTTGCAATGAAAGAGTAGGAGTTGTGAAGTAATGTAATTGTGTAAAACATACCCAAACACCCCATTTTATAGTAAAAAAATATGCTCCAACGGACCAAAGTATTTAAGGGGTGATTGGCACAATTTGTGGGATTTGATAAAATTTGGATCTGCTGAAATTCACCCAGACAGCGCTGTCCTAGGCTTGGACATCGCTGTTCTAGGCTTGATTTTAAAAAATTGGGAAGCAACGATCATGCCAACAGCGATGTCCAAAACCCTACATCGCTGTTTTGGCTGTTGACTTCAAACAAGGAAAGTTTTAGCCTTAAATTCCTTCCAACGGTCAGGTCCCTACATCGATGTTCATAACTTGAACATCGCTGTTTAGGTCTGACTTTGAAGATGGAAGTTTGGCCTGACAGCGCTGTTGCTGGGTCAACATCGCTGTCCTGAACCTTTCTGCCAATGCACTATATTTTTGGCCTAGGTTGGACAGCGCTCTAGGGAAGCCTACATCGCTGTTCCAGAAGTTTCTGGAATTCCAACCTTGGCTCAACAGCGATGTCTAACATCCAACATCGCTGTTGGAAGACTTAACGCCAAACCATGGTTTTCAGCCACCCAAGCCAGACAGCGCTGTTGGTTTCACCAACATCGCTGTTGGGCTGGTTTAGCCAGACCCATGGTTGGTTTAGTCACGCCGTTAGCCGATGTCAAAAACGCAAGTTCTCCAAAATAAAAACCAAGTTTAAAAAACATTTGCTTATTGCATTTTGCTAAGAAATCAAGTGAAACATCTTAAAAACCACGTCATTTAGTTGAAAACCACGGCTAGCCAAGTTCGCGCCGTTTCGCATGGTTTTCAATAAACGACCAAAAACGGAAGATGGTTTTTGAGGCGTTTTTGTTGGAGAACTATTTAAATGTGCCCAGTAGTAAAAAACAGTCATAAAAAGTTGAAAACCACTTGGTTGGTTCGGACGCCAAAAACCAATGCCGAAAACCGAGAGCCGAACGCCGGTTTCTGAAAACCGAATGCCGGATGGCTTGGTTTTTGGTCTGGGCGAACTCCAAGTGTTTTTGGGTAGATTAAAACTTATGAAAAACATTTTTGAGTTTGTAAAAAGAGTTTTTATGAAATGAGCCTAGAGAGCCAAGTTTTGAAATTTTGTGCCGGTCTTGATCACATTAAGACCGACTCATTACAAATCTAATTCTTCGTTCTTGATTCTGGATTCTTGGTTCTCAAACCATCATGCCATGTTCCTTCGCCTTGGTTTTTGTTCTCTTTAGCCTTGTTATGTCACGACGGTTTGGCATTATCAAAACCTGTCATAGAAACGAACATAGTTTAGTACGACGTAGGCGTAAACTTGTGTTCCAACAACGGGTGCATAAGTTTCTTCAAAATCAATGCCTTCTTCTTGATTGTAGCCTTTAGCTACGAGCCTAGCTTTGTTTCGAGTGATTATTCCATTTTCATCAAATTTGTTACGGAACACCCATTTCGTACCAATAATCGTACGATCATCGGGCCTTGGCACCAATTCCCAAACGTCATTCCGTTTGAATTGGTTTAGCTCCTCTTGCATAGCCAAGGTCCAATGTTCATCGTTTATTGCTTCGGAAATGGTTGTAGGTTCAATTTGAGAAACAAAAGCCATGTGGCCTACGGTGTCCCTAAGAGAGTTACGAGTACTTACCCCGCGGTTGATGCTGCCTATTACCTGGTCAAGTGGATGGTTCTTGTGCGTTCTCCAAGAGATGGGATGCTCGGTTTCCTCTTGTTCCTGGGCTTCCTCTTGTTCTTCTTCGTCTGCTTGGTCTTCATTTTCGACCATCACTTGAGGTGTTTCCTCAGGTTGTGGTTGCGGGTTGGTGTATAATGGCGTGTCTTCTTCATTGTCTTCAACGTGTAATCTTTCGAGTGAATCTGCAAGATCATCACAAATAGCCTTTCTCGCCAAGCGAGTATTATCTTCGGAAAACACAACATGAGGGGACTCCTCAATAGTCAAAGTGCGTTTATTAAAAACTCTATAGGCCTTGCTACGAAGTGAGTAACCGAGAAAAATCCCTTCGTCCGACTCGGCATCAAATTTTCCCAAGTTATCTTTGCCGTTATTGTGAATAAAACATTTGCAACCAAAGACTCAAAGATGGGAAAGGTTTGGCTTTCTCCCTTTGTATAATTCATAGGGCGTTTTCATGAGTATCGGTCGAATGACGGCTCGATTTAACACGTAGCTCGCGGTACTCACGGCATCTGCCCAAAAATACTTAGGGATTTTTGCCTCATTGATCATAGTTCTAGCCATCTCTTTGAGACATCTATTTTTGCGTTCCACCACTCCATTTTGTTGTGGTGTACGTGGAGCTGAGAAGTTATGATCAATGCCAAGTTCGTCACACAAATCTGAAAATAGATTTCGTTCGAACTCTCCCCCATGGTTGCTTCTTATGGCTATTATGGTTGTGCCTTTTTCATTTTGAACTTTCTTTAGAAAATTTTTGAAAACATGAAATGCTTCACTTTTATGAGTAAGAAACAGAGTCCATGTAAACCTAGAGTAGTCATCGACAATCACAAATGCAAAGTAATTACCACCAAAACTTTTCGTTCTAGAAGGACCAAAGACATCCATGTGCAAAAGTTGAAGCGGTCTAGACGTTGAAACAACGTTCTTAGACTTGAACGAAGCCCGAACTTGCTTCCCCTTTTGACATGCATCACATATGGTGTCTTTTTCCTAATTTGTGAAAATTCGTTTTTATGCACAAAGTCATTTTTCTTAGGTTGTCTACCATGACCATTTTCATTTTTAGGTTTTGGTCTAGGTTGTCTAGTGTCCTTAGGTTGACTAGGTTTTCTATTACTTTGATTTTTAGGTTTCTTATGTTGAACCTTAAATGGTTGTCTAGGTGGTGGCTCAACATTTTCTTTAACCTTAGTTTCATTTTTATTGAAACTTATTCCTTCCTTAAAAAAATGCATAGTGTCAAGAAGTAAATTTAAGTCTTTGTGAGGAGTATTAAATTTCTTGACCGTGCTCTCAAGTTTAGCGACTTGTTCTTTTAAAGCTTTACAAGACTCACATTCACTTGAGGAACTTTCCGGTTTGTCAGCGCTTCTTTTTCCAAAAAAATTGTTTTCTTGTTTAAGTTTTTCATTTTCTTTTTCCAATTTATCAAAATCGTTTTCAAGTGAAGAAAGACGTTTCTTCAAAGATTTATTTGTTTTAGAAGCGCTAACAAATTCTTCATAAAGTTCATGAAGTGCTTCTTGCATTTCTTCAAAAGTATAAGAGTCGGAAGAAATGGTACATACCTCTTGGACGTCGTCGTTTTGATCTTCGTGCGCCATGAGGCAAAGATTTGCAGCTTCGTCCTCCTCTTGGTCGGTTGATTCGTCACCGGAATCGCCGCCCCAAGAGATGTAAGCCTTTTGCTTCTTAAAGCCGGGCTTGTCCTTGCCGTGTTTGGCTTTTGGACACCTTGGCTTGATGTGGCCAATCTCGCCACAGCCGTAGCACTTGGGAGGACCGTCGTGCTTTCTTCCCTTCCGCTAAAATTCCTTCTTCATGAACTTGTGGAACTTCTTGATGACGAGTCCAAATTCGTTGTCGTCATCGCTTGAAACCTCTTCCACCGGTTCCTTGGTGGCTTTGAGAGCTATCCCCTTTTTCTTTTGGTCATCCAAAGACGGGATTAAAATAGTAGATTCATAGGTTTTAAGATTACCTCTTAGCCCGTCGATGGTGACGTTGGAGACTCCAATGGATTCATAGATTGCATCAGCTTTTGACCTCCATTCGGGGGTGAGGCTTCACAGGATTTTCCTTACGAGATCCTTGTTGGTATACGTCTTCTTAAGAGCATGAAGATCGTTTATGATTTTTGAGAAACGATCAAACATGTCGTCGATTTTCTCACCTTCCTTCATTCGAAACATTTCATACTCTTGGGTGAGAAAATCGATCTTGGTTTCACGCACTTGATCGGTACCTTCGTACGTTACTTCAAGCTTGTCCCACATCTCCTTGGCGGTTGTGCAACAGGAGATCTTTCGGTAGTCATCGGGGTTGGCCGCACAATATCGCATATTGATGGCCTTTGCATAATTCTCAATCTTCTTGATGTCCTCGGCATCAAATTCGTTCTCGGTCTTTGGGGCCGTGGTTTCTCCCACTTTCTTCATAGGGATTTCTTCGCCATTTTTCATCACCAACCACAATTGGAAGTTGGTGGAACGGATATAGATTCTCATCCGTTCCTTCCAATAGGAGTAGTTGGTGCCATCAAAGAGTGGTGGCCTAGATGTTGATTGACCTTCTCCAATTCCTGCATAGAGATTTCTAAAAGAAGAACCCATGATCGCTTTACTCTCAAACAGTTAAGTTTAGACGCGAGTTAGGCTCTGATACCAATTGTTAGAATAATAGACCAACGCTAGAGGGGGGGGGGTGAATAGCGTTTGATCAAGAAATCGCAGGAATTAAAAATAAGTAAAAGAGAAGTAAAAGAAGAGTAAGAGGCACACCGAATTTTACCCTGGTTCACCATAACTTGTGGCTAATCCAGCCTCCCGAGAGACTCTCTCGAGCTACACTACTATCTCGTTAAGCTTAACGGTGCTTAACAAACCCGTACAACTTGAGAGTTTGAGTCACACAAACCTCAACGAACCTTCGAAGGAAACATCCCTTCCTTCGAACAACAAGAGAAATATTTTCTCTTGTCAAGTGTCTAAGAACATTAAAAACACTCAAGAACAATATTCTCTTTTAGAGTGGATGATGAGTAACTAAGAACGCTCAAGAACACAACACAAACTTCACAAGAATGACTCTCAAAAAGCTATGAATAAAGGATGAATTATTTGCAATGAAAGAGTAGGAGTTGTGAAGTAATGTGATATGTAAAACAGACCCAAACACCCCATTTTATAGTGGAAAAATAGGCTCCAACGGATCAAAACATTTAAGGGTTGATTGGCATAATTTGTGGGATTTGATTAAATTTGGATCTGCTGAAATTCACCCAGACAACGCTGTCCTAAGCTTGGACATCGCTGTTCTAGGCTTGGGTTTTAAAAAATAGGAAGCAACGGTCATGCCAAGAGCGATGTCCAAAAACCCCTACATTGCTGTTTTGGCTGTTGACTTCCAAACAAGGAAAGTTTTAGCCTTAAATTCCTTTCAACGGTCAGGTTCCTACATCGATGTTCATTAATTGAACATCACTGTTTAGGTCTGACTTTGAAGGTGGAAGTTTGGCCTGACAGCGCTGTTGCTGGGACAACATCGCTGTCCAAAAACTTTCTGCCAGAAGCAATTCTTTTTTGCTTAAGTTGGACAGCGATGTAGGGAAGTCTACATCGCTGTTCCAGATGTTTCTAGAAACCCAACTTTGGCTCAACAGCGATGTCTAAAAACCAACATCGTTGTTGGAGGACTTAACGCCAAACCATGGTTTTCAGCTACCCAAGACAGACAGCGCTGTTGGTTGCACCAACATCGTTGTTGGGCTGGTTTGGCCAGACCCATGGTTGGTTTAGTCAGCTGTTAGCCGATGTCAAAAAAATAAGTTCTCCAAAGTGAAAAACAAGTATTGAAAATGTTTGTTTAAAACATTTTGCTAAGAAATCAAGCAAAACATTTTAAAAACCACATCATTTAATCGAAAACCACGGCTAGCCAAGCTTACGCTGTTTCGCATGGTTTTCATTAAACAACCAAAAATGAAAGATGATTTTTGACGCGTTTTTGTTGGAGAACTATTTAAATATGCCCAAAATTAAAAAACAATCATAAAAGGTTGAAAACCACTTGGTTGATTTGGACGCCAAAAACCAAGGCCGATAAACGAAAGCCGAACACCGGTTTCTGAAGACCGAACGTCGGATGGCTTGGTTTTTGGTTTGGGCGAACTCCAAGTGTTTTTAGGCGCGTTTAAAACTTAAGAAAAGCATCTTTGAATATGCAAAAAATATTTTGATGAAAGGAGCCTAGAGAGCCAAGATTTGAAAGTTTGTACCGGTCTTGATCACATTAAGACTGACTCAATACAATTCTAATTCTTCGTTCTTGATCTTGGATTCTTGGTTCTCAAATCATCAAGCCATGCTCCTTCGCCTTGGTTTTGCTCACTTTAGCCTTGTTATGTCACGGCGGTTTGGCATGATCAAAACCTGTCATAAAATGAACACAGTTTAGTACGACGTAGGCGTAAACCCGTGTTCCAACATAGAGTTCGTGGTCAGTGACTTGTCGCTGAGGAGGAAGAAGAGTATATCTGAAATTCTTGTTCAGATCTAATTTTTGAGGGCAAAAATAACTATAAAAATCGATTAAATTAAGGCTAAAAAATTGATTTTGAAAATGGGGCAAAGGTAGAAATTCGTAAAGACATTTTTAATCGATTAAATGGATAGATGAAAAAATCAATTTTGGGTTTTTAGCGCTAACCAAAGTTTACTCAGAAGATATTAATCGATTAATTTGAGCAACAGGAATCGATTAGTTTTGAAGTTCAAGGAGCGTGTTTAGGACCAGAAAAAAATCGGTTTTTTGCAAAATTTATTAATCGATAAGAGAAAGTTTCGTAGGCCAAAAATTACTCGGACCCTCCTAATCGATTAAGAGAGGTAGAAAAAATTGATTAAAGTCTAGGGAAGACCAAATATCAGTTTTGAAAGATGTTGAAACATTGATTTTGAATAGGTTTTCAAGGAAATGTGATTTTCTCAAGAATAAAAATTACTCGGACCCTGCAAAAAATATTTATTGCATCTCTGACGCTTTAATTAGTAACTATAAATACAAGAATAAATTAGTTCATCGAGATGTCCAAAATGCCAAGTGCATTCCGAATGTGGAAGAAACTCTCCCTACAAAGGGGTTTCGTGAAAATGTCCGCCAATTGATGTTTTGTTTCAACAAACTCAATTGTGACATCTCCCTTTTGGACATGATCTCGAATGAAGTGATGTCTAATCTCTATGTGTTTAGTCCGCGAATGAAGAACCGGGTTCTTCGTGAGACTAATGGCACTCATATTGTCACACCTAATTGGGATGTGATCAAGTATAAGGATGAAATACACTAGTTGTTGTTTTAGCCAAAGAATTTGGGCACAACAACTTCCCGCAGCGACATATTCTGCTTGAGTGATGGATAGTGCAACACTAACTTGTTTTTTTAAACCACGACATTAACAAATGACTAAAAAGGTGGCAAGTACCGCTGGTACTTTTTCTATTGAGTTTGCAACCTGCAAAATCCGAGTCATAATAGCCAACAAGATAACACGTCGAACCTTTGGGATACCAAAGACCTACGTTCAACGTGCCCGCGAGATATCACATTATCCTTTTGATCGCAACCAAGTGCGATTCTTTAGGACATGATTGATACCTAGCGCATACACAAATGGAGTACATGATGTCCGGCCTACTCGCGGTAATATAAAGTAAAGAGCCAACCATACCTCGGTGGCGCTTGATGTCTACCTCTTTACATTTTTCCTCCTTGTCGAGATAGAAAGATGTACTCATAGGTGTGTCAATGGATTTGGATTCGGTAACGTCGAATCTCTTAAGCAATTCCCTGCAATAAAAAAAATCAATAAAAATTTGAGAAAGAATACAATTTTTTTAAAAAAAAGAGAGAAAATTAGTCTTTTTGTTGCCTTTTGGTTTATTGTTTAGGTTAGTCTTTATAAGTGTTGATGTTGTCAGTCTTTTGGGTCTATTTTAAAGTTTAGGTTAGTCCTTAGGTTATTGTGCCTATTTAAATTACAAGTTTGTTTCCCTTCTTGTTTCTTTAGTTTTTGAGTCAGTTTGTGTCAAACTCATTAGTCTTCTTTTATTTAGAATTCTAGTTGTGTATATGTGTTGGGAATTTGATTAAATATTCAAAAGAAAGAAAAATAAGAAAAAGAAATAAAAAAAGAAAAAGAATAGTGACATGCATTTGGACGTACAACATGCATGTGAAGAGTTTTTTTGTTTTGTTTCTATCTCTTTGGATTGGCATCAACCAATGCATTGCACCTTCTAGGCAATTACACATATATGAGAGAGTCTAATTTTTGAAGTGCTTTGAGTTGCTTTAAAAGGAGTGAGACTAAGGTAGATGTGAGTGTGGGTTTTACACACCACCAAGGTAGAGAGAGAAACATGAAAGGAATTTTACACAAGAATACCACCGGAAAAATCCAAGGGGTAAAAGGAGGGATTTGTAAGCGGTAAAAGGAGGGGTTTGTAAGCGGTAAAAGGAGAAATTTTCAGAACCCAGGACTGGTCGGTTTTGGCCAGAGCCTAGAAGGCAACCATGGGACTTCAAGAACAAAGTGGATGGCATGAGGACCGGGTACAAAGCGGCATGCTGGCTTTGTAAAGTATGGTGCGGAAACATGACTTGAGGAGATCGGTGGTCTAGCTGAGTGGAAAACTGCGGTTTATGTCTTGTGTCGAAAGTCTTCCCGGCAAGAAAAGGTTGGGCGGCGTGTCCCGCTGGTGTTGCTGCGGCGGTGTAAGATGGGCAGATCGAAGAAGCTAATTGCTAGAGGGGTGGTCTTAAAGAGTGTTAACAAAGGTGAGTTGTCATTTTTTTAGCTCGGGGTGGAGGGTTAAAACTCTAGGGAGCTAAGGTAGTGGTAGGGATCTTGACGGGATTGGTTGAGATGAAGTCACGGGTAAAATGAAAACTAGAAGCGGCAAGGACCTTGTGGTATTGAACTAGGTGGAGCTACAAAAGCAATAAAGGGTGACAGAGATCTTGCGGTTTTGAGCAAGATGGGGTCACAAGAAAATTTACAAAGTGGCGGTGATCTCGGTGGAGCCACAAGGGGTTTTTTTTCTCTTCTTTCATGTTGGCGGTGATCTCAAAGAGTTAATCGAGATGGAGCCAAGGTAATTTTTCTTTGGGGGTAGCGATGATCTCACGGGACAAATGAGGTGGAGCTACAAAATTTTTGATTATTTAATCAAGGTGGAGTTTGTTGGGAATTTGATTAAATATTCAAAAGAAATAAAAATAAGAAAAAGAAATAAAAAAAGAAAAAGAATAGTGACATGCATTTGGACGTACAACATGCATGTGAAGAGTTTTTTTTTGGTTTTGTTTCTATCTCTTTGGATTGACATCAACAAATGCATTGCACCTTCAAGGCAATTACACATATACGAGAGAGTCTAATTTTTGAAGGGCTTTGAGTTGCTTTAAAAGGAGTGAGACTAAGGTAGATGTGAGTGTGGGTTTTACACACCACCAAAGATAGAGAGAGAAACATGAAAGGAATTTTACACAAGAATACCACTGGAAAAATCCAAGGGGTCTTGGTGAATGTGGGTGAGTGTAGGGAGTAACTGGTTTTAGTTACTCGGAAAAAATACATCCAGGCAAAGGATGTAGAAAGATATGTTTATGAGTGTCTGAAATTAGCCTTGTAAACAGGGGAGAGTTTTTTGTATATTGTCCTGAAATAGTGGAAATATAATTTTTTCTCTCATATATATTTTTCTTGTGCTTGTTCTCTCATTTTTCTGGTGTTCTCAATATTTTTCGGTATCTTACGCGCTTAAAATCCCAACAATATGCCGGTGTCTTTTTATTAAAATTGAGTCTTTGAGTTGATTTAACTCTAACATTTGGATTCAACTTAACTGATTTTCTGGTAGCTAACTTAACTCTGGCAAAAAAAATTATTTTTTAACTTATTATAATAGTAGCTACTTTAACTAAGAGTTTAACCTTTTCTTTAGGCAGTAACTATAGGCATTCAAAAAAAAAAGATCCAGTTTCTAAAAGTGTAGTTGGTGGCATAGGGTCATACAACTCTGTTTTGGGCTTTTGGCTCGGGATTATAAGTTATGGAGTAAACCTTATGTGCAACTTTATTGGGATCCAAATTACCCTGTATGTGAAATTAATCTGCTACTCCTGAGCTTAGCTTGAACAGAATGAATACAAAGTTTAGCTGAGGAAATTGTTGCTAGTTAAAGTGAAATGAATTGAGAACCAGGTGCGTACCTTACAAGATGGTCATCAAGTTACCTGCAGACAAAGCTACCTTTGAGGTATTCAAAGTTGAGCAAAAAAAAAAGAACAGCAAGCAGGGTTAAATATGCAATATTGCTGCATTTCTAAGACTCAAACTGCAGGTAGAATCTTAATTTTGTGTCCTTAACTTGATTCCTTGTGTCGAGAGAAAATAAAAGAAGGGACTAAGCCATACATTCCAGGTAAGTATACTAAACCCATTCTCATTTTGAGTTAGGACTCAATTTATAATGTTCAATGTAATGAGGGGATACTCTTTTTAAATGATTTACAAAACCTCGGAGTTGAGCATTTCAACTTCTAAATTTTTGGACTCGATTAATATATCTGTTAAGGGCTTAAGGCATTCTATAGATCTAAAAGTTCGAAAGGTGCTATTAAGGCATTAGCAAGTATAATGGCATATCCCTTCTCTTATTTTCACGATTTATCTACTCCTGAGCATAGCTTGAACAGAATGAATACAAAGTTTAATTAGCTGAGGAAATTGTTGCTGGTTAACATGAAATGAATTGAGAACCAGGTGCATACCTCACAAGATGGTCATGAAGTTACCTACAGACAAAGCTACACTTGAGGTATACAAAGTTTAGCAAAACAAAGAACAACAAGCAGGGTTAAATATGCAATATTGCTGCATTTTTAAGACTCAAACTGCGGGCAGAAAAATTTTGTGTCCTTAACTTGATTCCTTCTGTCGAGAGAAAATAAAAGAACGGACTAAGCTATACATTCCAGGTAAGTATATTGAACCCATTCTCATTTTGAGTTAGGACTCAATTTATAATGTTCAATGTAATGAGGGGATCCTTTTTTTAAATGTTTTACAAAACCTGGGAGCTTGAGCATTTAAACTTTTAAATTTTTGGACTAGATTAATATATCTGTTATGACATTCTAAAGATCTATAAGTTTGAAAGGTTCTATTAAGGAATAAGCAAGTACAATGGCATATCCCTTCTCTTATTTTCACGATTTATTTACTACTGTTGTGAAGAGGATCAATGTGAAGTTTATAAATGGCTTTCAGCAAACCCGGTGCTTATTTGATTCTGTGTTCCCATTGTTGTTTCCTATGTACATTTTGGACTAGTTTTGAGCTTGGTGTCAATTTTCATCTTTGCAAGAACCGAAATTTTGTGCTTCATCCTGAAGAATTATGAATTTCCTTAAACAATAATGTGGGAGTACATGTGTTTATATACACAAACTATTCCTAATCCTAATCATGGTAGGATTCTACAATAGGAAACAATCTCTATACAATAAATACAGAATATATAATTAACTTAAATATAGAATATATTTAACATGCTCCCAGCTACGTCGGCGTCGATGGTGGGCGAATCCCGAGGCTTGTCCGGAAATCCTGAAATAATATGGACGGGAGGCCCTTGGTGAATATATCTGCATACTGTGAGGAAGATGGCACGTGAAGGACTCGAATCTGGCCAAGGGCCACCTTGTCACGAACAAAGTGAATGTCTACCTCAATGTGTTTGGTGCGCTGATGCTGAACTGGATTGGTGGAGAGATAAACAGTGCTAACGTTATCGCAGAAGATGAGTGTGGCACGGCGTAGGGGTTGCTGTACCTCTAATAGGAGATTTCGGATCCAGCTGGTCTCGGCAACGGCATTAGCGACGGCTCGGTATTCAGCTTCAGCACTGGATCGGGAAATGGTGGCTTGACGCTTGGAGGACCAAGAGATGAGGTTGTCCCCAAGGAAGACACAGTAGCCTGATGTGGATCGTCTGGTGTCGGGGCACCCTGCCCAATCGGCATCGGAGTAGGCCTGAAGAGAATCTGTGCTAGACGGAGAAAGAGTCATACCATAGGTGGAGGTGCCGCGGANCTCGGCAACGGCATTAGCGACGGCTCGGTATTCAGCTTCAGCACTGGATCGGGAAATGGTGGCTTGACGCTTGGAGGACCAAGAGATGAGGTTGTCCCCAAGGAAGACACAGTAGCCTGATGTGGATCGTCTGGTGTCGGGGCACCCTGCCCAATCGGCATCGGAGTAGGCCTGAAGAGAATCTGTGCTAGACGGAGAAAGAGTCATACCATAGGTGGAGGTGCCGCGGAGATAGCGTAGTACCCGCTTCATAGCTGTGACGTGGACATCTCGAGGGACGTGAAGGTGGAGGCAGAGCTGCTGAACAGAGTAGGAGATGTCTGGCCTAGTAAATGTGAGATACTGGAGGGCTCCAACGATGGAGCGATAGAGGGCAGGGTCGGCTACCAAGGAACCCGATGTGCCAGATAATTTAGCATTCGTGTCGACGGGAGTGGAGATGGGATGACACGTGATCATACCGGCACGCTCAAGGATGTCGTGAGTAAACTGTGTCTGATGTAGAAAGAGACCATGAGCTGTCCGATGAACATTGATACCCAAGAAGAAATGAAGGTCACCCATGTCAGTCATAGCAAATTCCCCCTTAAGGCGCTCAGTCAAGCGCCGAAGAAGAGAGTCAGAGGAAGTTGTGAGGACAATATCATCAACATAGAGAAGTAGGTAGGCTGTATCTGTCCCATGAGAGTAGATAAAGAGAGAGGTGTCAGACTTACACCCTCGAAACCCCAGTGTGTAGATGAATCCAGCAAATCGTTGGTACCATGAGCGGGGTGCCTGTTTCAAGCCGTAGAGAGCCTTTTTGAGCCTGCATACATAATTGGGCCTGTGAGGGTCCTGAAATCCAGATGGCTGAGAGGCGTAGACAACCTCCTGGAGATGGCCATGAAGAAAGGCATTTTTAATGTCCAACTGATGTATCGGCCATCCTCGAGAGAGAGCAAGGCTGAGAATGATACGTATGGTGGCTGGCTTGATCACAGGGCTAAATGTCTCATCATAGTCGACTCCGAATCTCTGGTTGAAGCCCCGAACAACCCATCGAGCTTTGTACCTGGTTAACTCACCTGTAGGGCCAAGTTTGTGCCTAAAAAGCCATTTTCTAGTTATGATGTTTTGGTGAGGGGAGGGGGGGTACTAATTCCCATGTGTCATTCTTGATCAATGCATTAAATTCCTCACACATAGCATTGTGCCAATTGGGGTCTTTGAGAGCACTACGGTAGGTGAGCGGGAGAGGGGAGATGGGAGCAGTGGTGTTGAGGTTAAGGATATGTTTGGGACAGGTTATGCCAGTTTTGGAACGCGTGACCATGGGGTGCTGATTTGTGGTGGGTAGATGTGGGCCGT